TAGATGGACATTCTCGGCCTAGCCACAAGCAGATCCAGTTAGGTGGCACCCCTGACATTTGATATGTCAGTCACATCCCTAACATGGAATGCCAGTGGCCAGGCAAATAGGGTCACTCTTGTTCATGTTCGTTCTCTTGTTCATGATCATAGTCTTGACTTTGCTACTTTCCTAGAGCCCATGACCCATAACCCCTCTTTTGACTCGTACTCTCAATGCCTTAGATTCCACTCCGGCGTGGGAAAAATCTCAATAAGATCTGGTTTTTTAATAGACGTGACTTTGCTTGTCGGGTAATCTGTGATACTGCACAAGTCCTGCACGTTGAGCTCTATATTGCCTATCTTTTGGAACCAATCTTCCACACCCTGGTCTATGCCAACTGTGCGAGGGCTGGTCGCTATGATCTGTGGGACACCATACATGAGATTGCTGAAAGCATGTAGGGATTATCGTGGATGGTGATCGATGATTTCAATAACTTTCTTCATTCCGATGAACGTGTTGGTGGCCAGTCGGATCGCTTCGCGGAGATCTTAGACTTTTCTTAGACAGTGGAAGATTGTGAGTTAATTGATGCTGGATAAGAAGGCTCACCCTTTACGTGGGTGTTAGAGATATACTGTAAATGCTCGGTTTTATAGATTCTATCAATTCCATTTAGATTAGGCCATCATGTTTAGGTCAAAGTACATATGCTTGTAGTTTATTTATTTATGTAATCATACTCCTTGTCTTACATTGAGATAGTATGGTTTATGGTGTCTCGAACAAAAAGATCATCTATCGGTTCCTTGTAGGACTAAGTTATTCGTTTACAGTCTAGACAGGCATTGAGACCCCTCTTGGAAAAAGATTGTTGTGTATTCTTGATTCAGTTTATTTTTTACTAGAGCATTACATTAGTACTTATGATAAGTATTGAACAGGACCACAGACGGATAAAATTATGAGACTCACTGATTGTTATTGTAATCTAGACCTTCAGCAATTGATGCGTACTCTTAACCTGTAAGATAATATAAAATGAGCATATATATTCTTTATTTGTTTATTGTATTCATCAAGGGTGATTCCTATTCTACTAGGATGACATATTGGGTATTTTGGTAAATAAGTGTATTTATATGATGTGTTGTTATAAATTATTTACGGTCACTATGTCCAGTGTGCTGGGTTCATGACGTCCCCGAAATGAGGTCATGAAGGAATATTATGTCAAGCCCTGCAGGCGAGTGTGTATCCGACATAATGATTAATGTTCTGAATGTTGTTTTGGAAATAAATAAGAGGTTGATTAATTATTTTGTTAGTAATTTAATTAATCAACGGATGTTACATCTTAAACATAGGGAGAAAAAATCGATCAATTAGATTAATATTTATTAATCAAGTGGAGGTTCGAATTTATTGAATAAATTGGAGCTAAATGGGGAGAGCAATAATATTACTCTCGTTGAATGTTTTATTATTTCATTCTATTTAGGAATATAGGAATTAATTATATTTCATATATTAGATTCCATTATGAGAGAAATATTCCTTCTAGAATATTACCTAGTGTTAGAAGACTATGGAGTCTTCTAATATCAACACGTCCCAGCAAGCCCTTGCGTGTGGCCCAACTACATCAACACGTCTCAGCTAAATGGGGAGAGCAATAATATTCCCTCCGCATGGCCCAGCTACCCTATGCGCGGCCCAACTACATCAACTTGTCCCAGCAAGCCCTTGCGTGCAGCCCAATGATGCGTCTTCGGTCCAGTTGCTTTCCAGCATGCCAGAACACACCCAACGAGGCCCAGAGCAAGTAAATCGAGCCCAGGCATCTTCAGTCAAGTCCACACGCGTCCAGCAAGCTCCAAACTGTTTCAACTCGGTCTAGAAGCCACAGTTCGAGTCCGTGATGGTTCCCAAGCGGTCTGAGGAGTCCGATTCATTTACCAAACGTCCGAGACAACCCGAAGAGCAACTTGAGCACCCCGAATAATAGATTAGAATCGAAAAAGGCCAAGTCCAGTTTCCCATCAGATTGTGGTGTTCAAACAATTTCCATCAACTGAAATCAGAAATGTCTCAAAGTCGACAAAAAATTTTTAAACTGTAAGTCCTAATCCTAACTATAGAATTTGCTGTGTTAGGATTTAATATTTAATAGATTTGAATGTGCACATTGTCAACGTTCCTAACAAAATCCAGCAACTTGTATCAGAGCCCAGGATAATTCGTCTTTGTGCACTATTCGAATTAGGACTTGTGTGATATATGTGAATTAATTGTGTATAGGCACATCACATAGTAGATTAGAATTGCAAATAAGTGTTGTTTGCCGGTATTCTTGAATCCGGTTATTATGGCCCGCATGTATGTTTATTTTAATTCATGTATGTCATTTTATAAGCCTCGGACATATCGAGGATTTTTGGGTTGGTGAATGTTT